CATTGACATTAGGCCACTCTGGGTATAGAACACTCTATGGGTTTGCACAAAAGTGTCATGGCAACCCCTGATTTTTATTGTCTCCATCATTTTTAAAAAATATATATATATATATTTTATTGGTTTCAGAGAGGAAGGGAGAAGGAGAGAGAGAGAGAAACATCCATGATGAGAGAGAATCATGGATCGGCTGCCTCCTGCACGCCCCACACTGGGGTTCAAGCCTGCAACCCAGACATGTGCCCTGACCGGTAGTCGAACCGCGACCTCCTGGTTTGTAGGTCGACGCTCAACCACGCTGGCTGGGGTGTCTGCATAGTTTTGCCTTTTCCAAAATATAGTTGGAACCAGACAGTAGGTAGTCTTTTTAATGAAATGCATTTAGTTCCTCCATGTCTTTTCCTGGCTTATTAGCTCAATTTTTAGCAGGAATATTCCATTTTTTTAGCAATAATACTCCAGGGTCTGGATGAGCCGCAGTGTATGTATCCTTTCACCTACTGAAGGGCGTCTGTGTGCAGGCTTCCGGGTGGACAGTGTCCGGCTCCTTTGGGTCAATGCCAAGGCGCAGAATTGCTGGATCCGATGGAAAAGGTGGGTTGAGTTTTGTAAGAAAACGCTAGATTGTCTTCCAACGTGGCGGCACCACTTTGCATTCCCACCAGCAGCGAGTGAGGGTTCCGGTGGCTCCACGTCCTTGTCAGCACTTGGTGTCGTCAGGGTTCCGGACTTGAGACATGATAATGGGTGTGTCGTGGCACCTCGTCGTTGTTGCTTTAATTTGCGTTTTCCCGATGACCACGGAGGTAGAGCATCTTTTAACGTTGGTATTTGCCATCCGTGTGTCTTCTTTGGTGAGGTGCCCGCACGGTCCTTGGCCCGTTTTTAAGTCACCTTTGCCCGTTTTGCAAGGGAGTTCTTTGTCTTTTTATTATTGAGTTGTCAGAGTTCTTTACACGGTTTAGATATCAGCCCCTAATCAGATGTGTGCTCGGCAAATACGCTCTCCCGCTGTTGGTTGACTTGTCACCTTTTTAAAAAAAGATTTTTATTGATTTCAGAGAGGAAGGGAAAGGGAGAGAGAGAGAAACATCAATGATGAGAGACAATCATGGACTGGCTGCCTCCTGCACACCACACGCTGGGGATCGAGCCCAAAACCCGGGTATGTGCTCTGACCGGGAATCGAACGGCGACCTCCTGGTTCCTAGGTCGATGCTCAACCACTGAGCCACACCGGCCGGGCGACTTGTCACTTTCTTGATGGTGAGAAGCATGTGCGTGTGCCTTTGGCCTCCGCCCACCTTCCTGACACACTGCCCGGAGTCTCGACGGCCTAGCTCGCCTTCCCTCTCCCCATGCGAGGGCTCACCTCCCAGGAAACTTGCCCGAGGAGCTGGGAACCGCTCGCATTGTCTCTTATATCTCAGGGCGGAGATGTTTTTCCTAGAGGCACACACCCTCCATCCTTTCCTGAAAACCAGGAGTCCCGTGAGAGGCACCGTAAGCGCCCTGAACCTCGTCCAAGTAAAACCGAACTCCAAGAGCGAGCAGCTCTCCGCTGTCCCACCAGAAGTGCCTCTGAGTGCGGGCAGGTCCCGTGGAGCTGGGATGCTGCTGGCTTCCTGCCGCTGCAGCTGTGAGACGCGGCGTCACTGGGCCGCGTGCACTGGAGGGTATATTTAGGTGCTTCTACTTACCGTTCCCAGAATAGCCATTGGTTTTCTGTTTCTCGGTCATCTTCTTTGTTGCTTTTGGGTTTTTTTAAATTTATTGATTGCAGAGAGGAAGGAAGAGAGAGAGAGAGAGAGAGAATCATGGATCGGCTGCCTCCTGCACGCCCCCTACTGGGGATCGAGCCTGCAACACGGGCATGTGCCCTGACCGGGACTCGAACCCGGACCTCCTGATTCATAGGTGGACGCTCAACCACTGAGCCACACCAGCCGGGCTATATTTGGTATCTGTAATTAGCTCCAAGGACACTTGAGTGAACCCCTTTGAGCTTCCTCGCTCCCATCTTATTAATGAGTCGAACCCAGCCCCCAGGGGCCGTGGGAAATGTGTTCAGCCCTGCGAAGGCCCCTGCTGGAGACAGAGCCCCCCCCCCCCCAGGGCCATCCTTCCCGCCCTCCATGTCTTAGGTTGCTACTCGTCCCAAATTAGAAGTCCTCTGCCCGTCGCGCATGCGATGCCCTGCCGTTGGAATGAGCAGTCAAGGTTAAAGCCAAAATCGATGAGCTCTCTTGCATTTCCCATAACCCGGCCTCACACGGAGCTGCTGCCAGGCTCGGGCCTCAGGGCGGCGGGTGGGGAATTTGAGACGTGGCCGCGGCCTTGCACGTGCGTAGGCCGTTTGCTCTGGACGGTGTGTGTTTTGTGTATCGTGTTCATTTCTGTTGTTTCGCAGGAGGAGCGGGCTCGCAGGAGGGGGCGAGGTGCTGGTGGAGAAGGGCCTGGTTTAGACAGGAGCAAGGAAGGAAAGGAGGCTCACGCGAAGCGGGGAGATGGAATTGCGACACCGGTTGTCCATTTGACCAGTTCCTGGTCTTCCTGCCCTGGTGTCTTCATTCATTCACTCATTCACTCACTCATTCATTCGTTTGTTTGTTCAACGGTGCTTACCGAGCAAGGTCCCTGCCTCACCGCATTTTCAGCCTAGCAGGAAGCCGAAGCAGGTGTACAAACAGCCCAGGGCAGGCAGAGGGGGTGCAGACAGCCCAGGGCAGGCTGAGGGGCTACAGAGCACCCCAGGGCAGGCAGAGGGGGTACAGATCACCCCAGGGCAGGCAGACAGGTGTGCAAGAACCTCTAGGGGTCTTGGGACAAGTTCCCCCTGAGAGGTGTGTGGTGTGGAGGCTACCACTAGAGGGCGCTGCAGAGACCCTTAAAAACCCTTCCTGGGATATAGCCTCAGACAACCCCCGAATCCCTGGCTTTGGGGGCCACTCTGTCCATCCCAGCTGTTCCCAAGGGCAAGGAGGTGCACATCTGGCTACGAGAGGCGCTTCCAAGAACCACTCCCTCGGGAGACCTGGGGGTTTGCAGGCGGGACGTCCCCAGAATCAGCCGGTCGGTGCCACGCGAGGGAGACCCCATCGCTCTGAGGTCACCCTCCACCTCCACCTCTCCACCGAGTTCCCTTTGGGGGTATGAGAACGACCCAGGAAGCCGGGTAGCGGGGGAGGTTCTGTAGGTCTGGGGAAGGACATCACAGTCCCCACAAAACCTGCCTTTGTTCACCACGGAACCTTCAGATTCCCGGCGGGGTCCTGGGACCGGAGCAGGTGGCTGGGTGTGCACCAATGAGACGCCCACAGGCCCTTGGAGTTCTGGGGCCGCACGAACTCTGTGCACCCCAGCTGCAGGGACAATGGCAGGGCAGCTGAGGACGTACGGTTACTCGGCCAGGGACGCAATAGGTATGCCATTGCTTTTATTTTTTATTTTTTTTAATATATTTGTATTGATTTCAGAGAGGAAGGGAGAGGGATAAAGAGATAGAAACAGCCCTAACCGGTTTGGCTCAGTGGATAGAGTGTCGGCCTGCGGACTGAAAGGTCCCAGGTTCAATTCCGGTCAGGGGCATGTACCTTGGTTGCGGGCACATCCCCAGTGGGAGGTGTGCAGGAGGCAGCTGATGGATGTTTCTCTCTCATCAATGTTTCTAACTCTTTATCTCTCTCCCTTCCTCTCTGTGAAAAATCAATAAAATATATTTTTAAAAAAAGAGAGAGAAACATCAGTGATGAGAAAGAATCATGGATCAGCTGCCTCCTGCACGCCCCCTACTGGGGATCGAGCCCACAACTCGGGGATGTGCCCTGACGGGGAAGTGAACCGTGACCTCCAGGTTCATAGGTCGATGCTCAACCCCTGAGCCACGCCAGCCGGGCTATGTCACTGCGTTGTAGCCAACATCCTTGGCCAGTAGCTTACAGCCGGGCCTGAGAGGGGGCAGGGAGACCAGCCCTGCAGAGGCGCCTGCCAGCCCTGCTCTGCAGCGGGAACCCGGAGCGGGGCGCAATGCAGCTTTCCCTGTCCCCCAGGTGGTGGGGCCTGTCCGGACTGGGGCCGTGGGCAGCGCTGAAACCTCCTGGGCCCTTTGCTCTCTTGTGGCTGCTCTGTTGCTGCAGCTTTGGCCTCGTTTTCCCCCCAAAAGAGCCGTCCCCGGGGGCCACACGGAATCATGTGCCCGTAGCCCTGGCCGGTTTGCTCAGTGGATAGAGCGTCGGCCTGTGGACTGAAGGGTCCCGGGTTGGATTCCGGTCAAGGGCAGGGACCTCAGTTGCGGGCTCCTCCCTGGTCCCGGTCCCCGGCCCTGGTCAGGGCACCTGCAGGAGGCAACCAATCTGTGTTTCTCTCACATCGATATTTCTCTCCTTTTCCCTCCCAATTCCACTCTCTCTAAAAAGCAGTGGGAAAACATACGAGGGTGAGGATTAAAAGAGAATAAAAATGTCCCCGCAGAAGTTAATGCGCGCCTGGGGAGCTTTCCTTTTGCCGGCTCTTCCCGCACACCAGCTGCAGAGAGAGGCGTCCACTCTCCAGCTAAACCTGTGGAGCCCCGAGGTCAAGTTCTCGGGGTCCCCTCCAGCGCGCTGGACCCATCAGGGCTGACCCAGGAGCTGGTGGCCGGCGCTCCCCCGCCCTAGGCTGCAGCCAGGACCCGGCCGGGCTGGAGTGAGACGCTGGCTGCGCGGTGGGCGGGGGCGGGGCAGGTGCGCCGGGTGGGCGTGGGGCGCGCACTTGGCCGTGACGTCGGAGTTTGCAGCAGCCCCGGCGGGAGGCGTGCGCGCCTGGAGCGGCGGCGGCGGCGCGGCGGGCCGGGAAGATGCGCTCCGCGGGGCCAGGGCGGCCGCAGTGAGCTCAGCGACGGGAGGGGGGACCGGAGCGCTGGCCGCCGTCAGGGCCTGCAGGGTGGAGGCCGCGGGCACCCGGGGCGCTCGGCCGGCCCCAGGATGTAGGCGCTCGCGACTCCCGCGGGCGGACGGCTCACCATGAAGAAGCATTCGGCCCGGGTGGCCCCGCTCAGCGCCTGCAACAGTCCGGTGCTGACCCTCACCAAAGTGGAAGGTAGGGGCGCGGGCGGGGCTGGGGGGTCTGCACCCCAGCGGGGTCGCCCCCTTTCCCCGCCACGGGGCCAAGGGGCGCCAGGCCTGGGGCGGGGGATGGGGGTGGGCTGCCAGCTCCGGGGGAGGCGTCCCCGCAGTGCAGCTGCTTGCGGAGGCGGCACCTGGCAGCTCCCGGCGCCCTGAGCTGCAGCGCGGTCCACAGGCAGCCGGGGTGCGCCTCACAGCGCGCAGCTCCTCGGTGCAGGGCCCCCCGCACATCTGGCACATCTGGCAGCGCAGCAGCGGGGTCTCGGCCCCTTCCTGGCCTGGCCTGGGCACTCACTGGGCAGCTGAGCAGGAGGGGCTCGCCCGGACACTAGCCAGTGTCCCCCACGCTCACACACGCTGGCGTCCCTGCTCCCTGGTTTGGAGCATCTCCTGCCCCACGGAGCCAGGTGTTGCTCAGCTGGGAGAGGCCCCGTGGCTGCCCAGACTGAGTGAGCTGTGACCTCCCAGCCCCAGCTGCTGGGGACAGGCAGGGGAGAGCAAGGCCACCCGCATGTAAACGCGTTCTGGCCCTCCCCCGTCGGGATGTGGAGCAGGGACTGGGAGAGCGAGCCTGACTCAGACCCAGCTGCCACCTGCCTGAGTGCGGGAGCTCGCTCTCCCATGTGGAGGGAGGAGGGAGCAGAGAGAGACCCCCCTCCCCTCAGCCCTTGCTCCCCTCCCAGGAGGCAGAGGTGGGATGAGAGAGCTGGCCAGGTTGTCCGGGGAGAGCTGGGAAGGGCCAGTCCATGAGTGGGGAGCAGAACACAGACCCCTCAGGCCTGGCTGGCGTGGCTCAGGGGTTGAGCATCGACCTCTGAACCAGGAGGTCACGGTTCCATTCCCAGTCAGGGCACATGCCCGGGTTGCAGGCTCGATCCCCAGTGTGGGGCGTGCAGGAGGCAGCTGATCCATGATTCTCCCTCATCATGGATGTTTCTATCTCTCTCCCTCTCCCTTCCTCTCTGAAATCAATAAAAATATATTTTTTTAAAAAAGAAAGAGAAAGCAGACCCCTTCCTCAGTTAAGGTCCTGGGACCCTGAGCTAGCAGCCCCGTGCGAGCCGCGTGCAGGGTGGCCCGGCTCCTGCCTGCTCCCGGACTGCAGGCGGGACTCAGGACCTGCACACGGTGGCTCCCCCGCAAGAGCGCTCACCTGTTGTGAGGAGACTGCAGACAGAGAGCAAGACGGAGGCCGGCCGGGCAGAAGCTGCCTGTGGCATCCCTCGTGCCGTGTGCCCATCCTACCGATGAGGACGGTGAGGCCCAGAGTGTGGCTTGGTTGGTGGGGAAGCAGGATTGTCACCCTGGGCTGGCGGGTCAGAACAGCGTTTTGCACTAACTTGCGACTACTTACCTCCGTCTCGTCATTTTCTGTCTTTAGGGGGTTGATTTTTTTTCCTCGCTGTTTTGGTTCAGTGTGGCTCTGGGTGTATCTGTTGGAGCCGTGTGCGTCTTGCGTGCCTGTCTGGGAGTGTTGACTCATCTTGTTTGGCCGCGGATGCGCAGGGCGCGGGGGTCCCCACACTGCGGCTGTCTGTGTGTGGATGGCAGAGAGACGGCCGGGAGTATTTATTAGCGTGCGGAGTGTTTCTAACAAGGGGGGGTGCGGGGAGGCACCAGCGTGGGGGACACATAAACCTAAAATAGGCAGTGTGCTGCACGGTGGGCCTCCGGCGTGGGAGGTGGGCAGGATGACTTCATTTACCCAGCAGGCACCTCACCGGGCCCCACTCCCCGTCCTCCGTGCACTGAGCAAGGCCGTGGGATTGCAGGAATGAACGATAGTGGCTTCGTTCTCTTAAGGACGTTTCAGGCTAGTGGGGAAAAGTGCACAGATAATTAGTTGTCTAGTAGTTATAGGTAGATTACTTATCTGGTACATATGCATAGATTAGCTATCTAGTGCATATAGGTAGATTGGTTATCCAGTAATATAGATTAGCTATCTAGTGCAAATAGGTAGGTTAGTTATCCAGTAATATAGATTAGCTATCTAGTGCATATAGGTAATTAGTTATCTAGTAATATAGATTAGCTATCTAGTGCATATAGGTAATTAGTTATCTAGTAATATAGATTAGCTATCTAGTGCAAATAGGTAGATTAGTTATCTAGCAATATAGATAGGTTAGTTATCTAGTGCATATAGATTAGTTATCTGGTACATAAGAGATAGATTAGCTATCTAGTGCCTAAAGGTAGACTAGTTATCTAGTGCATAAGAGATAGGTTAGCTATCTATCTAGTGCCTATAGGTAGACTAGTTATCTAGTGCATAGGAGTTAGATAAGTTATCTAGTACGTAAGAGATAGATTAGCTATCTAGTGCCTAAAGGTAGACTAGTTATCTAGTACATAAGAGATAGGTTAGTTATCCACTGCACATGGGTAAATTAGTTGTCTAATACAGGAAGTATGTTCTGGTTCAGAGCTGAAAACAAAGTGTTCCCGGGACACTGATCATTGAGCAATCTGAGGAGGCTTCCCTGAGGAGGCAGCCTTCTGAGGTAGAGGCGTAGCCGCTGAGGTGAGACTTGTCAGGTGCAGAGGGAGGGGAGGGGCCGTTTGGGCAGGAGTGGCGGGGGTGTGCGGGCCCGGCCCAGGGCACTCGGAGGAGGCTGCCCTCCTGCTGGGCCTTTGATGGGGCTTGAGGCTTGAACCGTGGTTCCGGCCGGGTGGATGGCGTGCCCTCTCTGACTGCCACTCTTGTTTTCATGTGCTCATCCTGGCTTTCCCATCGAGCACAGACACTGGATATTAATCAGCGACACATCCTCGCAGAGTAGAATTTCCTGGGATCATCTGTATTCCCATCTCTATATATAAAAGCCTATTGTGCGAATTGTCCCTGCGGCAGTTCCATCAGGAGACCGATCGCTTGCTATGATGTGTGCTGACCACCGGGGGCAGCATGGAACGAAGGAAAGTCACAGCCAGCAGCCAGAAGGCCCCGATCAGCCCTGATCACCAGCCAGGCCTAGGGACCCTACCCATGCACGAATTTCGTGCACCGGGCCTCTAGTGTTCAATGAAATTGCATTTGGTAGGAATCGGTAGTTGAGAGCAGTACAATAAATCCCCCTGGAGGCCAGCGGCAGGTTGCCTGTGGAGAGAGTGAGGGCTGTGGGGTCAGATGGACAGGAGGTAGTGGTGCCCACGGCTCGAGCTCAACCAATCCCTGTGACTAGTGATTCCAGCTCTGTGAGCGGCACTTCTCTCATGTGCAGACGGGGATGACAGTATGTCCCTCTTTTTGTCTTTCTTAAAATATATTTTATAGATTTTAGAGAGGAAGGGAGAGGGAGAGAGAGAAACATCAATGATGAGAGAGAATCATCGATAGGCTGCCTCCTGCACGCCCCACACTGGGGATCGAGCCCACAACCCAGGCATGTGCCCCGACCGGGAATCGAACCGTGACCTCCTGGTTCATAGGTCGACACTCAACCATTGAGCCACACCGGCCGGGCCTTCCTGAGGTTTCCCTGCTGCCTTGAGGGAGGCTGTCTGCTTACAAGGGTCAGACTTCTTCTCTGCCCGGTCCCTCCCCCTGCACGTGGCTGTCAGGATTTAGTGCTCGTCCATTCATCCCCCCGGCCCCCGCCATCTCTCTCTCTCCCCTGATTTGTCACCCCGCCTTCACCACCTCCTTGCCTGCTCTGCACCTGGCCCGAAGGCCCCTGCCCGGCGGCGGTGGCTCAGTGGTTGAGCCGCAACCTATGAACCAGGAGGTCACGGTCGATTCCCGGGCACGACGGGGATTTTTCAACAGCCGGTGTTTCTGTAAACGGAGGCCGGAGGCTGTTCCCGGACAGGCCCCGGGTTGCCCGAGAGGAGGGTGATGATGCAGCGATGGCCCCGGGGGAGGGAGAGGGGGGTGTTGGCCTTGAAAAGCGGGAATGGATGGCAGGCAGAGACAGGGAAGTGTGGGGACGCGGGAGGGAAGCCAGGGACCGGAGCTGGCTGCCTTCGCGGGGGACGGGTGGCAGGCTCGGCCGAGGTTCAGCCTGCGGGGGAGCCAGGAGAGATGTCACCCTTAAAAGCCTTTCTGGCGAGGGATGCGTTCTCGGTGGTGGAGACCTCGTGTGCCTCGGGGAGGCGTGTGGAGGGAGGGACGCCGGCGGCGGGTCGCGACTCGCATGTCAGTCCCAGCTCCCGGAGCCGATGAGCCACCGGACTGGAGCCCAGCCCTCCCTCTCCTGAGAAGAGACGGGAGGAGACAGGCCTCAGGCCGGCTGTCAGCAGAGACCTGGCAGCGCCTACTGCGTCACTTACGAGCAGAGCTCGAGGGCGTGACCCGGGGCCACTGAGAAATGGGGCTGTTTGTGTGTGTGTGCCTGTGCCTATGCATGGGTGGGCTTGTGTGTGCATGTGTGCGTGTGCATGTTGCATGCATGTGTCTGTGTGTACGGATGTGTGTGCATGTGTGCCCGTGTGCATTGTGTTTGTGTAGGTGTGTGCAGGGGTGTGTGTGTGTTTCTGTGGTGTGCTTGTGTGTGTGTGCCTGTGCATGTTTGAATTTGTATGTGCATGTGTATGTTTGTGTGTGTGCCTGCTTGTGTATGTGTGTGCATGCCTAGACGTGTGTGTGTGTGTGCAGGTATGTGCTTGCACTTGTGTGTGCATGTATGGTGTGTGTGTGTTTGTGCATGTGTGCCTGCATGTGTGTGTGTGTGTGTGTAAGCCGTGGTTTGCAGGTAAAAGGCCTCGGCAGGCCCTGGGCGTCCCGTGCAATCCTCATTTCCCATCACCTGTTACTCCACCGGCACCTGCCAGGCCACCAGGGGCAGCAGGTTTAGTCCCGCCTCCTGCACGGCTCCCCTGATGCACACGTCGCACGTAAATTCACTGAGCGAGGATTTAACGAGTGGATGGGATAAACAAGACCCAAACTGCATTTTTGGGAGCTGAATTACACTTGCAAATGGCCCTGAACAAAAGCTTCCTTCCAGGCTCCCCATTTTGCAAAAGCTCGTCCTGAATGGGCTTACACATCGTTGATCAACACATGGGAAATGGTCCTCTTCCCCTGGGGCTGGCCTGGATAAAAAGGGGGGGGCTCTAGTTCCCAGAGCAGCATCAGCCGTGTCCTCTTGGGGTGCACTGTCTGCCTCATGTCCCACAGGAGGTGCCAATAAATCTTTGTGGGATGAGAGGCCCCCAAACCTAACTGGTCCGCCCAAGAGAAATGACAACATATACGTCACACCGAGACGTATATGTGAGGGTTCCTGGCGGCATGAGTCACAGGAGCCAGACACTGGGAGCAACACACGTGTCCCTCCAGGGACTAATGGCTGCACTCAGCGCAGGCTGTTGCCATGTGGAATGACGGGTGCTGCCTGGCCAGTGTGGCTCAGTGGTTGAGCATCAACCCATGAACCAAGAGGTCGCTGGTTTGATTCCTGGTCAGGGCACATACTTGGGTTGTGGGCTCGATCCCCAGTAGGGGGCGTGCAGGAGGCAGCCAATTGATGATCCTCTCTTACCGAAGTTTCTATCTTTCTGCCTGTCCTTTCCTCTCTCTCTAAAAAAAGTAGATAAAAACATATTAAAAAGAAAAAAAGAATGACTGGCACAGGCTACAGCATGGGTGAACCCCGGTGCCATTATGATAAGTGAAGGAATCGGGTGCAAAGGTCTGCATGGTCTGTGAGTGTCCAGAATCGCCGAACCTGCAGAGGAAGAGACCAGATTGGTGGTGGCTGGGAGCTGGGGTAGACATGGGGCATGATTGCACACGGGCATGAGGCTCATCGTGAAGTGATGGGATGTTCCAAGACGGGGTAGTGGGGATGGCTTCACCCTTCCGTTAATTTACTAAGAACCATGAACTGTGCTCCTCCAACGAGTGAAGTTTTTAAAAATATATTTTGATTGATTTCAGAGAGGAAGGGAGAGGGAGGGAGAGAGAGAAACATCAGTGATGAGGGAGAATCATGGATCAGCTGCCTCCTGCACGCCCCGCGCTGGGGCTCGAGCCCACAACCTGGGCATGTGCCCTGACGGGGAATTGAACCCTGACCTCCTGGTTCAGAGGTCAACGCTCAAGCGCTGAGCCACGCCAGCCGGGCAAACGGACGGTCTTGAATCAAGATTTTGCCTCATAGAGTTAAAGGGTGTCCCAAAATTCACGCAAGATTTGAATTTTGCGTGAGCATTAACAACAACAACAAAAAATAAAAGCCTTATTTTACTTGGTTTATTGAATCAGATTCTAATATCTGTTGCCGTTTGATTTCAATCCCTTCCATTCGATAAGCATGACCAAGTACCAGTGATGGCCCAGGAGCAGGGACAATGAAGACCAATGAAGACCACGGCTTTGCGGATGTGCCAGCAAAGCCGTGGAGGCCATTGACCCGATGTGCTATTCCATACATAACCCTATACTGTGTACTTTATGAATCAATAAAAAATTTACAATTTTTGATTATCAACCTGTGTTTTCTATCAAAATTACTTCTTGCGTGAATTTTGGGACGCCCTTTAGTACGTTCCAGACAGCATGATATGCAATAAAGCTGCTGAAAGCTTTATTTAAAGTTTAAACAAAATAGAGTAAGTTTGACCCCGGTGTATTCTGTCCTCCCCGCCTCACCCCTGGAGTGGAGACGCCCTCCTAGCGCCGTGGGCCCCGGGGCTGCGGGCCTGGTGCCAGGCCAGCGGGAAAGGCCAGCCCGCCGGCCCCGGGGAGTCCCCATCCGCCCGTGGTTGCCCCCGACGCAAGGCACAGCTCTGTTTAAGTTTCCGGCTGACCGACACGCACACAATCCGGAATGAAAAGCAAACAGAGGGAAAGAACGGGAGCCGCCGTGCCGTGGTCTGTGGGAACGGGCGCCCCAGAGCCTGCTTCGGGCTGCGGGCTGCTTTCCAGAAGTTACACGCCCGGGGGTGCGCGGCCCGGCCTCACCCAGCGCCAGCTGCCCGCCGCGGTTTCTAAGTAACGCTCCGAAGTGGGAGGAAGGCTGGCCGGCCGCAGGAAGCCAGTTAGAGCAAATGAAGAGAGAAGAGGGCCCTGGCCGGTGTGGCTCAGTGGATAGAGCGCCGGCCTGGGGACGGCAGGGTCCCGGGTTCGATTCCGGTCAAGGGCACGGCACCTCGGTGGCAGGCTCCTCCCCGGCCCGGGCCCTGGTCGGGGCGCGTGCAGGAGGCAGCCCATGGATGCGTTTCTCTGACATCGATATTTCTCTCTGTCTCGCCCTCTCTCTTCCACTCTCCCTAAAAATCAATGGGAAAATGTCCTCAGGTGAGGGTTTTAAAAAGAGATAAGAGGAAGCCCAGCCAGTGTGCTCAGTGGTTAGCGCCGACCTATGACCCAGGCTGAGAATCTCGGTATCTGTGCCTTTAAGTACCGGACAGGGAGGGGCTTTGGGGCAGGTCCCGGGAGCGTTCAGAGGTCCAGGCGTGAGTCCTCCTCAGGTGGGAACCCAGCCCCCGGCACCGCCCCGACCGAGGCCCAGGAGCACAGCAGCACCCGGAGCCCACGCAGGCTACACACTGCCCCTCCAGCCATCTGTGTGTCCTGGGGGGATTGGGGGGGTGGCACCCCAAGACCAAGGCCGCGCACACAGGCCACCTGTTGGGATGCAGATTCGGGGTCTGGGGTTGTGCCTTTATTTCCAACAAGCTGGGGTCGGGGTGGTGGGGGTGATGCTGCCGCCCGTGGACCACAGGTGGGGGGTCAGGGTTCTGGAGATGAGGAACACCCAAGAAAATGTCTCTATTTTTATTTAATTTTATTTGATTGTTTAAAGTATTACAGGTAGTAGTAGTACAAATGTCTCCTTTTTTCCCCCCCATTGACCTTCCCCCGGCCTCCCCTAAAAGTCTCTATTTTTTAAAATATATTTTTATTGATTGCAGAGAGGAAGGGAGAGGGAGAGAGAGAGAAGCATCAATGAGAGAGAATCATGGATCGGCTGCCTCCTGCACGCCCCACACTGGGGATCGAGCCTGCAACCCGGGCTTGTGCCCCAACTGGGAATCGAACCGTGACCTCCTGGTTCCTAGGTCCAGGCTCAACCCCTGAGCCACGCCCACCGGTCGGCCGGGTGATGACATCTATTTAAGTGTCCTTTCAGGAAGTGTCCTCCTGGGTGGCTGGCCATGACCCTGGTCTGTTCTGTTTCAAAAAGCTGCCTCCACACACCCTGCCCCTCCCCTTCCCAGGGCGTCTAGCCTTGGCCCTTGGCCTTTGACCATGGCTGTGGGTGGGGTGGGTGCCCCGTTCTGGGGAGATGTGGAGGCCGCTGACCTGAGCGCCTTTCTCTTTTGCAGGGGAGGAGCGCCCCCGGGAGGGCCCGGCCCCCGCGGAGGCCCCGGCGGCGGCGGGGTCGGAGGCCGGGCGCGGGAGCCGCCGCTGCTGCCGCTGCTCGGGGCCGCGGCTGCGCAAGCTGGGCTGGGGGCTGGCGGTGGTGCTGAGCGTGTGCACCTCCTGGGCCGGCGCCACGCAGCTCGCCAAGCGCACCTTCCGGACCTTCGACGCGCCCTTCACCCTGACCTGGTTCGCCACCTCCTGGAACTGCCTGTTCTTCCCTCTGTACTACGTGGGCCACGCGTGCAAGGCCCCGGAGCGGCCGTCGGTGAGGCAGCGGTACAGGTGGGTCTCCCACGGGGGCGGGGGGGCTCCTGGGGCAGGGCTGGGACAGACCTGACAATCAGGGGTCCCCCGATGTCTTAGTGGGACGGCCGAATTCTCCCCCCACCCCCCTGCCCGCCCTCCTCTGGGGTGGTGAACACCCGCTCCTCCACCTCCAGGCCTCCCCTCTTTCCTTCCCCCCCACTCACCCCCCCAGCCCTGGGAGCTCCTTTATATGAAGCAGGAGAGGTAGGGGGCATCTTCTAAAATGGCCTAGAGCAGCGGTCGCCAACCAGTGGTCCGTGAGGTCCGAAAGATTGGTGACCACTGGCCTAGAGCATGTCCGGCTGGTGTGGCTCAGTGGCGGAGCGTCAACCTAGGAACCAGGAGGTCACGGTTGGATTCCGGTCAGGGCACAGGCCTGGGATGCTACCTTGATCCCCAGTGTGGGGCGTGCAGGGGGCAGCCGGTCCATGATTCTCTCTCATCACTGATGTTCCTTTCTCTCTCTCTCCCTCCCCTTCCGCTTTGGAGTCAATAAAAAAATTTTTTAAAAAAGCTTGGGGAAGGCCCCCAAAAAGGGGGGGAAGGGGGGCGCTCTTGGTCCCGGCCCGGCTTCCTCGGGAAGGGAAGTCAGCGAACCCGGTGGAACGGTAACTCCTCTTGGGGTTAAGAATCTGTCCCTTGAAAGGCCCCGATGAATTCATCCCCCTCCCGACCCAGGGCGCCCCCCCTGAGGGGTCTAAAACCCCTGAATGGGATTGTCCACCTCAAAGCCGCGTCTGGCCTTCCTTGATTTTATTTTT